TTTTTTTTTTTTTTTTTTTTTTTTTTTGGAGAGGTTTTGGCTATAGGGCGCACGTGCTCACCAGAGAGACAGAGAGACAGAAAGCGAGAAATCACCCTCTGGGAGGATGGCCATGCCGCAATCCCTTCTCCTGCATTCTCCTCTTGGGATGGATCTTGGGCACGCATGCACATGTGCCTGGTGTGAGTTTAAGCCACCAGGTCTGGGATTCAACCCACTGTTGACTACATGAGAGTCCAGTGACATAGCCATTATGCTGGTCCCTGGAGCCATAACATTATTGATTTGAAATAATAATAATTCTTCCATCTTCTCTGTTACTTAAAAATCAAATCTCCTTTAGAACCTACCTAATACCTGTAACATAAAGTGTACTCAGTAAACACTCAACCAATTAAGGACTCTCATAAAGACTCTCCGAAGGTGCAATATTACTTTACTGACAGTAGAATGCATGAGATATGAAACCTAAGAAAAGGTGGGACCAGAAGGTGGCAGAGTAGTTAAGGTGTTGGCCTTCCACATGGCAACTGTAATTCAAGTTCCGGACTAAGTGGCTTGAGAATCATTCTGGGCAAGAGTGTGTGTCCAAAATCCCAGGATGAGAATGGAAGAAAAGGAATTGTGGTATGGCCATCCCCCCTAGTGGAGAGGATGATTTCTCACTTTCCCTCTCAATGTCTATCTGTCTCTCTCCGGTGAGAGCACATGCCTTCACCCAAGGCAAAAACCTAAATATACTTTTTTTAATCTAAAAAAAGATATTATCAGTCATAAAATATCTACTTTGTACTTACGGAGTGCCTCAGGCAATTCCTGGTATAGGCAAAGTAATTTATATTAAAGATAAAGTATAAAACAATTTTCTTAAATCATTAGACTCATAAGAATAGCTTACAGTTTTTATAGTGAATTTAATTTTAGAAGATAGAGCCATTTGTACTTCTTTTTTCAGTTCCCCCAGGTTTTCTTTCTTGAATTTATCCTTCAAATCCCACAGCTTTGAAACCAACTCTTCATGGGAAATACTAGCACAATGTAGTTAAGACTATGAGTTTTGGCTAGGTCACCTAAATTTCTAATCCTGGTTCCACCACTAACTAGCTAAGATAACTTTCCAGTCTCTCACTTCCCATCTAAGTAAAATGGGAATTGGTAGTTACTAGCCCAACTCTATTGGGTTTAATGTACAAATTAAATCAGATTATGCATGCCGAGCCTTTAAAAGTGCCTCTCACATAAAGAATGCTTACTGACTGCTGCTGATGGTTCATCTTTCTCACCAACACTCACCTGTGGTACCCAGGACCACAGCTATCACCAGCATTATCAAGCAGAGGATTCCCAGAGTCAGAACAATAAGGCGCCAAGGAGGAGACGCAGCGGGAGTTCCTGAGGAGTGAGAGGGAGCAGAAATGGAATGAAGAAAATGGATGATGGACCTGGAGCACTCTGGTTCATCAAAACCTGGAAAATCTAACAGGAACCTTTCATCACTGGTGCATAGGAAGCTAGTCCCCTAGGACTGTCTGAGATTTCCCCAACTGCAGTGTCCCTCTGCAGTTCCTTGTCATTTCAGCACACTGCTTCAAATCCACACTAATTTTAGTTCCTAGAATCCCACTCATTAGTAGGAAACAGTTTCATGTAGGGGAAATAACACATTACTAAGGATAACCTTCCCTTTTCTCTTACTAGTTGCATGACTTAAGCAAATTAATTCCTTTTTTTTTTTCATTTCTCTTTGTAAAATTAAAGTAATAATACCTCAAAGGATTATTGTGGGAATGAAACGCACACGTGGCAAAGCCCCTAGTTTAAGGTCTGTTAGCACACTGTAGGTTCATTCTAGAGTGTGGTTTGTCCACACTTACGCACAAACGCACATACGCCTTTCCATCTCTTGCTTTCTCCTTATTCTATTCTTCCCCAACAGGTTGGCTGAGAAAAGAATTGCTTAAGCGTTAAGTGGAAAATAATTGTGCAATGTGAATTGCCAGAAAGCAGAAGAAAGCAAACTGATGTCAAAACCTGTGAGTAATCTTTCCCTTGAAGATAATAGGGAAATGATTTTGTGCTTCACCACGCCCATACCGTATCTCTGCTTTTTCACTGAGCATGCGCAGGAAGAGTATGCTCTACAGCTCCCATTCCACTGGATGGCCCTATCTTTTCATCCTTCTCTTATCTTCCATTTCCTGATTGTTCAAATAACCTTCGTTTTTTAAAGTTTACTTATTTTGAAAGAGAAAGAGATAGGTACCCCCAATGAGGTCTTAATGCTGCGATCCATGCCCATCCTCAGCAAGCCGGGATCCACGGCATATGCACTCCTGACAGGTATAGGGAGGCTTCTAGGTAGGATCCCAGAACCTTCCCATGCAAGCCCAGCATCAGAAAGCATTGCCTCACTGCTGTGCCTCAAATATTGGGTCATCAGAAAAATCATGACATATGTTTCTGTTTTTCTATGCAAAAAATGCATCATGACTTGTCTGACAACTCAATACATTCCTTCAAGTTTCCTTGGCCACCACTCTATAATCTACTCCTTTCTATCAGACAAGCACCATGTTACTTCTATTAAAATTCCTTAATCTTTATATACCATCACACTTATTGCCAACTCTTTACTGATGAAGTGTTGTTTCTGAAGCTACATTTTCGGTCTTGTTACATAATTCACTTAAATATTAATAATTACTCACTGAATAGTTTCTATTTAAAAAAAAGGCTTAGTGCACATTCAATTATATGAATTGACTTCTGAAATCCTTTAAAAGTACATGAATAAGTGTCCTACAAACCGTGAATCTCTCAAATGTTCTCTTAAGTGTCTCAGTTGATGAGAATGAGATTATTAAGGGCAGAAAAGAAGTACCTTTCTCTGAGATGACAGGTCTCCTAGTGATTCCTTGAGAATGGAAGTTTAATTGAGTATATCCATCTTCATCCACATTTTCTAAGTCAGAATGATATTCCATTGTTTTGTAGAGCTCCTGAAAAGACTCAGCATGTGACGGCCCTTCCTTTCTCCTTCCGAGAGGACTGCCTATGAACAAAAGAGGATCTGTGAGTCAAATCATGTGGCATGTGGGATAGCATTTACTGAAGTTTAACAAGCCGAGCTTAAGTTGTCCAACCAGATCCCCAAAACAGGAAATGGAAACTACACTGTGGTAATGTTCCCTTTTTACCTTTAGAGCCTGTTTCTAAGACTGCTGACCGTTGGGAACATTAAAAAGCAGTTGACAGTAAGCTATATATATAGCCCCAACTAGGTGTTACTTTATAGTATGTTCATTTTACTCACTGAGGTTTACACCTAAAGTCAGATGTGTGTTCATAGATATGTATATATCAGTTGTGCTTGCTATTGAAAGCATTTGGATTTATCAAGGTGTTTAGTGAATCAATAAAATGGGGGGGGAAATGGATGGAGGGGACCAGCAGGTGGTGTGGTGATTAAGGAGCTCGATACTCCCATATGGCCAACCACGGTTGAAGTTCCAGATCTGGTGGCTTGCTGTCTCACTTTCCATCTCTCACTCTCTCTTTCTCTCTCTCTCTCTGTCTCTCTCAGGTCAAATTTAAAAAATAAAATGAATGAATGAATAAAGTTAAATAAATAATTCTTGAAAAAAAAAAAGGCATGGAAAGCAACTGAGCAACTGTAGATACCAGATACAGTGTGAAAGAAGGGTAGGAAATGGTAGAGGGTGAGAGGTAGGGAATCAAGGGGGGAGGAGGCAAAATAAATAAGAAACAAGAAACGGGAAATTATTTATTGATGATGACATGTATGGTAATATCCTTGATTGAGCCAATATACAGTGTATTCTGGATGGAAAATCTCATTTTGTATACTGCAATGGTGTACAGTGAAGGAAGGTAAATAAATAAATTTAAAATTTAAAACCTTACATATAATGGTTGTATGTATTTAGGACATCTAGTGTGATTTTTCAAAGCATGTATAGTGTATAACAATACAATTAGAGCAATAAACATATTTACTCTCTCAAAAAAAATAAGGAAAAAAAAAGAAATATAGCAGAAAGAGTAGGGCTCCTAAAGCCATCCTCATTTTATTCTATAGTTTCCCGCATTGTTACTGATTTCCATTTTCTGTACATTAGAATGCCATCTCAGAAGATGGAATGTTCACCTCAATTTTAACTTACATTCCTTTTAAAAGTGAAAAGTATTTTTTTTCTTTTTTTCTTATTAAAAAAGCACTATGTAGTCAGAGAAAGAAAGACAGCTTTAAAAATAAAATCTTGGGGCCAGGAGGTGGCATGGTGGTTAAGGTACTGGATTCCCACATGGCTGACCATGGTTCAAGTCTTGAACCCAGTAGCTTGAAAATCATGCTGGGCACATGTGTGTGCATGCCCAAAATCCCAAAAGGAAAATGGGAGAGGGATTGCGGTGTGACCATTCCCCTGGTGGATGATTTCTCACTCTCTCTTTTTCTGTCTCTCTCTGTTTCTCTCCAGCACCCTATGGAAAAAAAATCTAAAAAAAGAAAAACTCATCTTAGTCTCCTCATTAGAAACACCCCCTCTAATGTCCAAGTCTTCTGGATCTATTATGTCACATACACAGCTTTTAAAACAAAAGTTGATTCATATGTAATACTATTTTCTAGCCTGTACTTTCCACTTACTAATATGTTAGGGACATTTTTCCATAGCGATAAATATTCATCTTCAACATAAAAAAAAAGGCAGTCAAGTAGAAAGGTCTTTGTTTCAGACCAATTGCTTTAAAAAAAATGCATAGATTAATGTCGTGTACAGCCACCATTTCTCTCACAAATGATTTTTGTTAGTGTTGTGAGCTAGAGGTTCAGTTTCATCTTACTGCAGGTTGATACCCAGTTTTTCCAGCACCATTTGCCTAGGAGGTTTTCTTTTCCCTGCTGGATTGACTAGTGTCCCTTTTCAAAAATTAGCAGGCTGTATGTTTTGGAGTTAGTTCTGGGGTCTCTATTCTGTTCTATTGGTTTGCATTTTTTTGTGCCAGTACCATGCTGTTTTGATTATCACAGCTTTGTAATATATTTTGGAGTCAGAGAGTGAGACATCTACTCCTCTCTTCTTGCACACTATTGCTTTGAAAATATGAGATCTTTTATGATTCAAGACAAATACTATGATTTTTTTCTGAATCTGTGAAGAATATCTCTGGTAATTTTATTGGGATTGCATTAAATTGGAAATTAATTTAGGTAGAATTGACATTTTTATTATATTAATTCTTTCAATCCAGGTACATGGGATGTCTTTCCACTTTTTTATGTCATGTCATTTTCAGTATCTTTTTTTAGTTTCTTATAGTTTTCTTGTAGAGGTATTTCACTTCTTTGGTTAGGTATATCCCTAGGTATTTTATACATTTTGTGGCTATTGTAAATGAGATTGCTTTCTTCAGTTCTACCACAGTTTGCTCATTGTTGATGTATGGAAATGCTATAGATTTTCATATGTTGATTTTGTATCCTGCCACTTTACTGTATTCATTAATCACTTTCAGGAGTTGCGTGTGTGTGTGTGTGTGCATGTGTGTGTGCGAGTATTTTTCTGGGTTTTCTATGTAAATGATCAGGTCATCTGCAAATAAAGAGAACATTTCACTTCTTCTTGCCCTATTTCAATGCCTTTTATTTTTGTCTCTTGCGTGACTATATTGCATCCCTGGAATAAAGCCTTCTTATTCGTGGTGTATAATCCTTTTGTGTGTCATTGGATACAATTTGCTAGTGTCTTGCTAAGAATTTTTGCATCTATATTCATCAAAGATATTGGTCTGTAGTTGACTTTTTTTTTGTTTTGTCCTTGTCTGTTTTGGGGATGAGGGTGATAAGGTCTTCATAAAATGAATTTGAGAAAGTTCATTCCTTTTTGGATCTGTAGAAATAGTTTGAGTAGAGTGGGAGTTAGCTCTTCTCTAAAAGTTTCATAGAATTAAGAACTGAAGTCATTAGGACCTAGGCTTTTCTTTGTTGGGAGGTTATTTATTACTGATTCAATCTCATTGGTAATTATGGATCTATTCAGGCTCTCCCTGTCTTCTTAATTCAGTCTTGGTAGATTATATGTGTCCACAGATATGACTATCTCATCCAGGTTTTCTTGTTTGGTGATGTATAGTCACTCATAATATTCTCTAGTGATCTTTTGTATTTCTGTTATATCTGTTGTTATATTGCCTGTTTCATTACTTTGATTTATCTGGTTCTTTTTTCTTAATTAGTCTAGCTAACAATGTATCATTTTTGCTTATCTTTGCAAAAAATCAGATTTTAGTTTCATTTCTTTTCTGTATAATTCATTTATTCTCTATTCCATTTATTTCTGCTTAACTCTTATTATTTGTTGCCTCCTAGTATTTATTAAGTTTTCTTGTTGTTGGTTTTGAAGTTCTCTAAGGTGTAGTGTTGTCTATTTGCTACCTTTCCATCTTTTTCTTTTTTCCTAAATAATTATTTTATTTAACTTTATTTATTTATTCATTTATTTAAATTTGACCAGAAAGGGACAGAGCAAAAGTGAGAAAATAAGTCACCAGGTCCAGGACTCAAATCGTGGTTGGCCATGTGGGAGTCCAGTGCCCTTGATCACCACACCACCTGTTGGGCCCCCATCTTTTTTTCTGTTTTTAAAAAATCTTGATAGAGAGATGTTTGCTATAGGGTTCATGTACTCACCAGACAGACAGATAGAGACAGAGAGACAGATAGTGAGAAATTACCCCAGTGGTATGGACACGCCACAATCCCTTCTCCTTCATTCTCCTCTCAGGATTTTGGGCATGCATGCATGCACACAAGACCGGTGTGATTTTGAGCCACTGGGTCTCGGATTGAACTGCAGTCAACTACATGGAAGTCCAGCAATGTAACCATTATGCTATCTGCTGGTCCTACAAAATTTTTTTTGAGATATTTTTGCTACAGGGCACGTGCACTCGTAGGAGGGATAGAAAGCAAAAAATCACCCCATGGAGAAGATTCCTCATGGCTCCTGAGAACTAGGTATTTCAGGGAACAAGAGAAATGAAGATTTTCTAGGGATAATTCAGCCTCCAGCAAACAAGCTAGCGTGGCAGGAGAGGTGAACCTTCAGAATAAGATTGCTCACGGCTCCTGCGAACTAGATTGAACTTCAAGAATTAAAAAGAAGAACACCATCCTTCAGATGAGAAGAAATCACTGCAGGACCACAAGAAATATGGGAAAGCAAGAAAATACCTTTCCTCCAAGGAAAAAGAATAACTTCTCTTCATCCACAAGCAGTTCAATGGAAATCATGGAAATGTCTGACAAAGAATTTGGAACATTCATAATGGCGAAGCTAATAGAGATGGAAGAGAAGAGAGACAATGAACTGCTAAAGAGAAAGGAGAAAG